GAGGAAGAGAAAGGAAACCCTCATGCACTCTTTCAGAGGGTTTATCCACCAGTTGAGAGATGACAAAATTTATGTTGTCACTCAAAGCAGTTTGTCTAAATGGTGACAAATCAGAGCATAAACTGATGTTAGCCATGCTTGCAGCTTTCTGAGGTGTAATCTGGCATGATGAACTACATACTGCCATGTGACCAAGAAGATTGAGGCAGCCGCATACCACTGAGAACAGGAATGCTCTCATTTGCAGCACTAAGTACCTGAAAGTTTCAAACCTGGCTTGTGGTAGAAAGGCCTTGGCCTTCATGGAGTCTAAGAACGCCCTGATGATTTCTATTGTCTGTCCTGGTTTTAGGATTGATTTGTCTCTATTTACGAGAAGCCCCAGTGCGTTGAACATGGACAGGACAGTTGATATTCTGGATAGGACTTGAGCTTTGGACTGACCTCTGATCAACCAGTCATCCAGGTTAAGAAATACATGGACATCTAATTTTCTTAGGTGAGCTGCTACAACCGCCATGCACTTCATGAACACTCGAGGAGAAGCTGACAGACCAAACAGAAACACTATGAACTGATAATACAGTAGCAGCCATTCACCATGAATTTGAGATACTTCTGATGGTTGTGATGTATTGTGACATGGAAGTGTCCTTTAATACAGGACAGCGTCCCAATCCCCCTGCTCCAGGGAAGGAATAACTGAAGCTAGGAATTTTATTTTCTTCAGGAATTTGTTTAACTCCCTTAGGTCTAAAATAGGTCTAAGACCCCTTTGTCTTGGGGATCCGGAAATAGCGGGAATAGAAGCTTTTGCCCCGAGGTACAATGGAACTTCCTCTATGGCCCCTGCCTGAAGAAGTGATTAGACTCAGATTTGAAGGGCAATCTCAATCTCATTCCTGAAGAAGGATGGGGAAGAGAGGGTGCAGGGAGAGGGGATAGAACTGAACTGGATGGCATACTCCTATTCCACCATGCTTAAGACCCATCACCAGCCTGAAGTTATGTGGGTCGAAATACCAAGGAAGTGCGATAAGCAATTGGTAAGACTACGATTTAGTCATGGGCAGTTTTAGTAAAAATCTTGAACAGATCACGGGAAATAAACAAAAATTCACAGCACATGACCTGTCCATTACCTTTACTATAAATACCCCTGACTAAATCTTAGGTGGGCGGGCCCCAGGGCCAGTCCCACCGGCTGCTACTTGGGCTGTCCCCGGGGCTAGTGGCACCAGCTGCTGCTCAGGTGGTCCCTGAGGCCAGCGGCCACTGAACAGTGGCTGGTGTGACTGTCCCTGGGGCCATTACTCCAGCCATCCCCAGACCACTGCTCAGGTGGTTCCTGGGGCCAGCCTCAATGGCTACTGCTCGAGCAGGCCCCGGGGCCATCAGCCAGAGGCCACTGTCCTCGGGGCCACTGCTCCAGCCAGTCCCGGACCACTGCTCAGGCAGTCCCTAGGGCCAGCAGCCGGGGCCACCCCAGCAGCGTCCGGTGCAGCTGGCCCCGGGGCCGCCCGAGTGGCTGGCTGCGGGGCCGTTCCAGCAGCGGGTGGTTTGCTGTCCCCAAGGCCAGCTGCATGGGTAGCCCTGGGGGCAACCACACTGGCCACTGCAGAAGTCATGGAGGGTATAGAAAATCATGGAATCCATGACTTCCGTGACAGACGCATAGCCTTAGCGATTGGTAAACGAACATTGGAGAACAGATGGAGCTGTGGTAACTAGTACACTCTCTTTGACAAACCCATCAAAATGCCTGCTTGGATGATCCCACCGATGCTATCTCCTAGAACCTCAGCTCTTTCTCCTTAGTGGATCTTGGGACTGAGGAAAGCAAACCCCGGGTGTCTGTATGGCTGCTGCGGATGAAATGGCTTTTCTTTTTGCTGCGGGGGTATGCATCCCAAGGGATTTGAATGCTGCCACGGAATTCTTAAGGCTCTGAAGCTTGTCGTCTGTTTTCTCTGAAAAGAGGGAGGAATCTTATCTTTTTTTAAGGTCCTGGATAGTCTGTTGGACCTCTAGAGGTAGCCCAGACAACTGCAACCATGAACACCTTCTCATAGCAATAGCTGATGCCATGGTTTGAGCAGCCGAGTCTGCGCTATCCAAACTATCCTGAAGAGCAGTCCTAGCAACCAGTTTACCCTCTTGAGCCATTACTGCAAATTCTTGTCTACAGCTAGGGCCCTACCAAATTCACAGCCATGAAAAATGCATCACAGATTGTGAAATCTGTTCTTTTGTGTGCTTTTACCCGATACTATACTATATAGATTTCACAGGGGAGACCAGCGTTTCTCAAATTGGGGGTCCTGTCCCAAAAGGGAGTTGCAGGGGGGTCACCAGGTTATTTTAGGGGCAGGGTCACAATATTGCCACCCTTACTTCTGTGCTGGCTTTAGAGCTGGGCGGCCAGAAAGCGGCAGCTGCTGACTGAGGGCCTAGCTCTACGGGCAGCAGCATGGAAATAAGGGTGGCAATACCAGACCACGCCATCCTCACATCTGTGCTGCTGCTGGCTTTGCCTTCAGAGCTGGGCTCTCGGCCTGCAGCTGCCGCTCTCCAGCCGCCCAGCTCTGAAGGCAGCATCGACGCCAGCAGCAGAGTAAAAGTAAGGGTAGCAGTACAATAACCTTGTGACACCCCCCCAACTCCTTTTTGGGTCAGGACCCCCACAGTTACAACACTGTGAAATTTCAGATTTAAATAGCTGAAATCATGAAAAATTATTTAACAAAAAAAAAAAGTATGACCACGAAATTGACCAAAATGGACTGCGAATTTGGTAGGGCCCTATCTATAGCCCTCTGGTAGCTTGTCTTTAAATTTCATAATGTTCTTCCAGAGGGTGAAGTCAGATCAACTCAGGAGAGCATGTTGGTTTGCAATCCTGAATTGCAGGGTTCCTGAAGAACAAAGCTTGCAACCGAACAGATCCAGCTTCTTTGAATCTTTGCCTTTAGGTGTGGATGGATGCTTTTTGGCCCCGCCTTTCCCACACATTGGCAGCTACCAACACAAGAGAACCTGTGAGGGGAGATGAGGATAAAAAAAAGTGTTCATACCCTTTAGAGGGGACAAAGTATCTTCTCTCAGCTCGTTTTACTGTGGGGGCAAAGAAGAAGAGCGTCTGCCTAATTGGTAGAGCTACCCTGGCTGAGGTGACTGATACCAGGTTGACTACTAACTTTTAAGAGCTTTCGTGCATCTTGTCTGCCTGAATGGGAAGTACAGAGGCAACTCTTTTTAAAAGACCTTGATGAACTTTGTGGTCATCTGGCAGTGGCTCAACAGCCTCATCTGGTGATGATGATGAGGAAGCAACAGGCATCTGAGGTGGCAGTTGGTCTGTGTTGTGCGGCAGAGAGGGGGCCTGAGTGGCTTCTGGCTGCTTGGTACTAATCTCAGTACTGGGAAAATGATGCTCTTTGTGCTGATGCCTTTGGTGCACTCTCCATGACAGCAAGCGAGATGATTGAAACGAGGTCGAGGAGGGGGGAAACACCAGAATGGCCACGGAATTAGGCCTGGGACCCATCCTTGTCTGGGCCATTGACCTTTAGGAGGATCCCAGTGCTGGGGCTGCTGCATGGCGAAGGGTCCCAACTACTCTGATGGGGGTATGTTCCCCCATCCTGGGCGGGATACAGAGGACCTCACCTCTAAGTCCCAGGAAGAAGAGTCAGAGGTTTCTGACAGCGGAGGTGCAAATCCAGCTGTTACTGGTGAGAGGTAGCCTGAGCCTGGGCATGGCGGTATCACGAAAATCATGGGAAGCTTTCCTCTAGACAACATGGACTTCTGTGGAGGCTTGGGTAGCAGCACCGCAGGATCTCGATGAGGTGAGGTATGAACCATGGGCATCGGTACCAGCTGAGGACCTTCCCTGCTGGCCATACCGGTACTGTGAGGCTAAGCATGTCTCTTGCGGCTGCATGTGTCTCTGGGGTTGTTGGGATCAGCATCATCTGTTGGCTCTGAAAATGCCTTTCAGGGGGACAGCCTCAACAGACTTGGTACAGGCTCCCAAGATGGTGATCCCCTCTAAGGAGGTGACAAGCCTGCCTGGGATGGGGATTGTCTCTACTCTGAATGCTTCTTCAGGTTTATGCCTCTGTCTGGCTGCAGTACCAACACAGCTGAATGAGGAACGGAACCTGAGGAAGGCCTGAGCCTTTTCTTTGGTCCTGGGGTACAGTCCCAAGAAGCTGCAGGCATCTCCGGCGAGCACTCCATACCAAAGCTGATGTTCTTGAGGCTCTCTCCCCGCGTGGCCACTCTGATGGGGCGGGGTCAAAGTGCCACTTCTATAAGCAAGCACTCAAGCCTCACCACCCTATTTTTTTTAATGGCACTTGAATCACGTGCAAATGTAATGTTTGTCATGAACAGGGAATTCCCCCCAAACATTTCAAACAGACTGGGTGTGAGTCGCTGAGCAGCATGGGTTTCATAAAGGTCCAGCAAGACTTAAACCCTGGGGAATGCAGCACTGTTCTGGTACTGGAAGATAAAAAGTGGTCAAAATAGACCAAAAATGGAAACCTAGCACTACAAGTTGTCTAACACTAACTATAAATAATAAACTGGTAAACAGGATCTATATACAGAAAAGGAGTGAGGGAAGCACTTGAATTAACAGGCCTGAATTGTTCTGACAACTGTCACTATCAGTAAAGAGGAACTGAGGCGGCTTGGAGTGGCTCTGCCCCCTTATACCAGTGACAGAGGGCGCTCCAGCCACCCCAACGGGTACCGCTGAGGGAAAAAAGTTTCCAATATCTTTGCACAGGGCACACGCACACATACAGTGGAACGGAAATGTGCAATTGCACAAAGAAGAAACTCCTTTTCCTCATAAACCTTTCCCCATAGATTTCCCCCGACCCAGGCACTGCCCTTGCATGTTCTGCAGACAAGTAATAGTATCGAATTAGGCAGATCATTACTGGTTCAGGTGTGTAAGCTCCTTGGAGACCCATTTTCCTTACCTTCGTGTTGGCGCATGCTTTCCCCTTCTTATAGTCTTTGTGGCTGCCCCTCTTGTCTAACTTGGCCCAGAGGGCTTTGGCTTTCCAGTAGTTGAGCTTGGACTTGAGTTTATGATAGAAAGAACGATAGTCCTTGGGCTTTAGCTCTAGGTAGTCACAAAGCTCTTGGAAAGCTTTCAGAGTCCCCTTACAGGTTGTGGCCTGGACAAATCTGTCGAAGAGAATGTGGGCTTGGTTCACCTTCTCGTTCCTGCTTTCCTCCATGCTTCCCACTCAACAGCTGCCCTAGTTGGTGTGGGGTCAGCTGTGCTCTTCCAGTCTGGTGGCCTTCCTGATGTTGCTCTGCCCAGCCACTTTCACCTCTAGCCCACAAGCATTATTAACCTAGAAAGTAACAGAGAGAAATGTCAATGAACTTGCATTTTTACTCATGTTTCTAGAGTTACAACTTTGACCACCTAAAGTAGTTCAATCTTTCCATAAATAGGAAGGCAACGGAGGTTCTCAGCCAAACTGATGGAGAAAAAACATTCTAAAAAAAATTATTAGAACGGTTTTTCAAACATTTAAACATCTGATCTTTTTTTAAAGACCATCAAATCATGAATGCTTTGTCTGATTCCCTCCCACACTCAAGGTTTTCCAAACATTTGTTTCTTTTGTGCTCCATAGGCAGAAGTTTGAAGTGAATTGGATAAAATTTTGGTGAAGTTGGGGAGGGGAGGAGGAAGTGTTAAAACAAAAACAACAAAAACAAAAACCATCAGGCTTTTAATTGTAATGAAAAGCTAGACATAACCATAGCTGTGGAGAGACCAGTACCTCCATAACATAGCTATGCTTACATAGCTCCTCTTACAAGCACCAGCATCACCAACATAAGGAAAAAGTTGCAAGAGTTGGGATTTCGCTAACAAAATCAATGCTGGTTCTTTCATTCAACAAGCGACATGCATCTCTACATACAGCACCTGAAGAAGAGGAAAAAGCATGTTGAAGATGGTGCTACTGGCTGAAGAAGCCTCAAACACAGCAATGTTAAAGAGCGACCTAAGGAAAGTGCTTGTGCCTACTGCACTCCAAGGAAGTTTAACCTGCAAATGGCAACCAAATGCCTGAGGAAGAAAAGACAACAATAAAAATAGAAATATCTAACATTTCATCAGTAGATCTCACAGTGCTTTCCAAAGGAGATCAGTATCATTAGAATGAAAAAGATGCCTCCAATGTACTTGCTCCATCATACCAGGGCATTCACTTTGCCCTGTCTAGCCTCTCTGTGGGTATTCTTCTGGCCTTAATTGCTTTTCGGAAACTCGATATGATGGAGCGATTTGGATGCTGTATTATCATCACTGTTAACTTTTCCCTTTAGTGGGTATAGCATTTTATATGAACCTATTAAAGGCAGCTTTTTTTTTTTCTTTCAGCAAAAAACACAAAGTACTTTGTCTTTTATTTCTATAAAAAAAAAATTCTCTTGCACACTGAGAAAAGAGTGCCGTTTGCCATCTGAGCATAGAATGGGTAAAGCCGCAGAGGAAACAAAGCACTGGTACAGAATATGAAAATGCAGCTCCTAGAATACTACTGAAAATAGAGGTTTGTTTTGGTTTTTTGGGGAGAGGGGAGAGGGTGGAAAGAGGCTAGGGCAGAAAAGGAATCTAAGGATTCAGATAAAAATCTTTCAGATTCTCACCAGAAAGGAAGCCAAGTCAAATCTCTGCAGCTCATATCTCTGCCCCAATCGGTCACAGCTCTGCAGCAGTTTGTTTGGGCACGCTGGATCATATCCCAACATGACAGTGAATACTCAGTGCTGGGAATGGAGGAGTAGGCTGATACCCCATTACACAACACAGAATTACTTTTTGGTTGAGAGATACAAGTTTTCACCTACAGAATCCAGAGCATGGTGGCGGGTTTACATGATTCGGACTTCATTAGTGCAACTGTTTTACTGCATTGAAGTGGTTTCTCTGATTGGCTGCCAGTAGTTATGGCCATATCAGTAACATCCACTAAGTGGTATGGCAATGACGATCTTCCTTATTTTTAATCTTAATTCCCATTTCACAAGAGTGAAAAGACTCTCCAGGCTGTGGCTCTCAAGGCATACTTTTCCAGGGGTTGAAGACACTGTGCTTTAAGCATATTGGATTGCTTACTTCGTTTACATCTATGTAACGCTAACTGTAAGCCCTCCCCGCAATTAGCTAAAAGCTGCAACGTACAACTTCTGTTTTGTGTTGTGTCTACTTGTCACTGACCATTACTCAAAGATCCTAACACTCAGTGTGATCCTTGCATTAAATGTTTTCCTGGTTTCCTTTCACTTACAAAATGTTTCCCAATAATGAATAATCTAGATTAAGAGACATAAACCCCCTGCAGGTAATGGCAATTTCGCAGAGAAGTCCAGTAGTCTACAGAGTGTTATTAAAGCACCCAGATCGAAGCCACCACAGGATTCATTCATTAATGCTGCCTCTATTTTTATTTCGCCAAACAAATGCAGCAGGATGATCCTGCAGTGGAGTCTCCCTGTGGGTTAAACCCAGAACTGCTACCGTTCCAGGAACCTATTTCTTTGTGTTTAAACTCTGCCAAGCCATGACCTTCTTTTGTAAGTTTGTCTCATTGTACACAGGTTAACCAAAGTAGTGTATTAACTATTTGGGGGAGGGAGGGGAATATAGGACTCTTCACACTCCACTTTATAAGGGGTTATATGTAAGCCACTTATTCTTAAAGAACGGATTCAGAGTAGCATCTGATGAAGTGAGCTGTAGCTCACGAAAATAGTCTCTAAGGTGCCACAAGTACTCCTTTTCTTTATTCTTAATGAAGAAATTCAGCTGTTTTCTGCACGTAGCTTCACTGGATTTCCATTTACCTCCCACTGCCACAATTTCTACATTCTTAATGCAAAGAACTGAAGCCCCTGAAATCTGAGGGCAACAAGCCAGAGATCACAGGGACTACAGGAGCCAAAGCAAGGACAGGCAGAAGTATTCGCCAGGTTTCCAGGGTATAAGTATGTGTCTCTGGCTTTTCTGCAAGTCGGCAGTATCCTGCATGTTTTGTCTCCAGGCAGCTGATTGCTGACTCAGAAGCTCTGCACATTCCTTGGCTACTACACTAAAGCGTTGGGAAAGAAAGACAAAGCCCATGAAGTGCATGCAGGAACAGGGCTCATGTTTCTATTTACAACAATAGCAAGAGGTTGTCACTGACTAATGGTTGCAAGTACGCTCAGGATCTCCTGCTCATGCCAGGACAAAAGAAACCAACAAAAATAAAACATACTATGAACGATTCCAGGTGGTGTTTCCTCCCTACAGTCACCACAGAATGTTAATTTCAAAGTTGCATAAACATTTGAACAGATGTGCAAATGGTAAGAGAATGGGTTGCCTGCAAAACTCATTCCCCTCCTGGCTCTTAAGTCCAATTTAGCAAGTTGGAAGAGGTCTTGGAGGTGATGTGGGCTTTGGAGTTTGATCATGCAAGTGACTGGGAAAGCGTTAGATAGAACAAACATTTTTTTCTTCCAAGCAATATTCATCCGTTCTGAGGTTCTTGTGATTTCATAACCAGCAAAAAAAGTTAAGAGGCAAGAGAGGAATGCTCCGAATCTTTGATCTTTACAGGCATCAGCCTGAGACACCTCTCAGAACTTAATTTCTGAACAAGCGAGGATCCTTCATATAATCCAATATAAAACTGTTATTCCGAACAGCCAAAAAGCTCCTTTTAATGCCAACAATGTTTAATTTATTACAAATTGAATCAAAGAAATGGCCCCCTTTGCAGAACATTCAACTCATGCTAAATGACACATGGATATTTACTAGGCCTTTTGGGTTGGAGGGCAAGGCCAGCTATCAGGCTGTAAAACAAAATTCAAAATGGATGGCTATAACTAGAGTTACACAAAAAACCCACTTATTTTTGCCCCATATTATAAAGACAAGAAATGGGGAGATAGGAGGACCAAAGATGCAGTTGCAATGTTTGTTGCTTCCCCTCCACAACTGAGAGAAGAACACCAACATCATGCACAGTATGTTTTAAGATGTTATTTAAATCTGCCTCCGTTCCATAAAATTTAGCAGACAGAAAAACATACTGGACATTAGATCTGTTTGTCTTCTAATAAACTAACCAAAAGTTCAGCAGGGGCTGAAGCATTTTGGTTTCCATCTGTATCCTCTGAACGCATTCTCCAAGGTGGAACACAGGTGGGAGAGGTATAGCCCATAAAGGAACTAAGCTGCTCAAATGAGAACCTGCTCTTCCTAAAAGAAAACAGTGCATATTAACTGCTCACAAGGAGCAAGTCTGCATCTCAAGAAAACATCCCCCCGCCTTCCAGTCCTACTTTTCTACGATTATATGATTCTATATTCACTATTGCAGTGCTTATTTCAAGGCAACTGACAGTGTCTGAAAAATGAATTGAGATGCTGTCCGGATTCACTGTGACAATTATTACTTCCCTGAACTCAACTAAAATGCTATTTTGCATCTTCCTACTGCATTATCCTTAGGACTTGGCAGAACTTTTATTTTTTTATAATTCTGGCAGATACCTATGTCTATTTTTAAGCATTTTTCTTGATTTTTAAATCGATTTACATTTTCATATGTGCATGAAATTATGGGGCTTTCAGACAGTTATTTAATGATAGTCTCTCAAATTCTCAAGCAGCATTTTTCTTACTTTTCCTAGCTGTAAAATTTAATTATTATGGATAGAAATATTGTTGTTGGTTTGTGTGTGCGCGCACCGTGAAACTGATGTTAACTGACACTGACTGATAAAAATCTAATGCTTCCAAGCCTAGTTACCCTGTGACCACAGCAGAAGTCCCTAATTAAGAGTGCACCTAAGTGGGGACAAAGAGAAATGGACAGCTTTCTTCTTCTTCTACAGCCGGGGTTCTCAACCTTTTCTCTTTCTGAGGCATGTCCCTCCCCACCATGCTATAAAAACTCCATGGCCCACCTGTGCCACAACAACTGTTTTTCTGCATATAAAAGCCAGGGTTGGCAAGGGGTAGCAAGCAGGGCAGTTGCCCAGGGCTCCACGCCAAAGGGCGCCCTGCAACGCTGAATTGCTCAGGCCTCTGCTTCAGCCTTGGGTGGTGGGGCTCAGGGCCCTGGCTTCAGTCCTGTGCGGCAGTGCTCAGACTTTCTGCCCTGGGCCCCAGCGTGTCTAACATTGGCTCTGTTTGGCAGACCCCCTGAAACCTGCTCATGGCCCCCCAGAGGGCCCTGGAACCCTGGTTGAGAACCACTGTTCTACAGTTTGATTAGAATAGGGTGACCAGATAGTAAGTGTGAAAAATCAGGATGGGGGTGGGGGGGGGTAATTGGCA